GGGCCATGAGAAGGCGCCGGCTGGGGGGGCTTATCACGACCCCTGAAGAGCCTTGGGCTGGGGGAGGGGAGGAGGGGGTCTTGGGGCCCGGCCCTGTAGGGAGCCCAAAGTCCAGCCCTGCCCTGGGGGTTCACCGTCCCGGGGGGGTCTCTCAGGGGAAGGGGCCGCCTCAGCCTGTGCTGCGGGGAGGGGAGCCTGGGCTGGGGGGAGCTGGGTGGGGTTTTTCCCCCTTCTCCCCACAGAGCTGGGGGAGCCGGCTGTGGTTGGAGCAGTGCTGGGGGGAGAGGAGAAGGCGACTGCTCCCATGTCCCAATTATCTGTAACTCTTCTTCCCCACTGCCTGTGCTTGGCATTCATCGAGCATCCGCGGGCCTGGTGTCTCCTTTCCATCTCCCAGTGCTTGCCTGCAGCCCCCGTCGGTGCTGGTGTTGCTGATTCAGGTCTGTTGGGCCATGGGAGTGGGCGCTGCATGGCCAGCGCGGTGGGAGAGCGGCTGCGCAGCGGCCCCAGCTCATGCAGACACGGCACTGGGGAGAGGAGCGAGTCGCCGGTCATCTAGTCTGCTCTGGCAGGAGGCAGGATCGAAGCCTTTCTAAATCAATAACGAGTGGGAAGTGTTGCTGCTGTAGTGGGGATAAATCATAAGGAGAATATTATCAAGTGCTCTGAACACATCCATAGGTGCTTCTTCCTTTAGAGGAATTAAGAGGGTGGAGTTCTTCAGGTTGTTTGGTTTTACTGAAAGTGAAACTCGGGTCTGCGGAGGGTGGGTCATGAACAGCATCAGGTTCTTTGTGATTTGAGTTACCTTTGGCGGCGGGTTCCCCGTTCTGAGGTCGTGGTTCGGCTTTTCTGTGGCTGGAAGAGCATGCAGTTGTTGACACAAATATTTGCATGTGCAAATTTAATGCTGCTTTTCTGTGCCAAGGAAAAAAAATGTTTCGGTAATAGGATGTCAACTTCAGCAAAAAATTCTGTGATCAAAGAAAAATGTTTAGCTTGCTTTAAAAGAGGAGCAGCCCTTAGAAGTGGGGGTCGCGGATGCACCTTTACAAGAAAGGAGCTGGTGGAAATCAGCCCAGGTCTTGTTGACCAGCAATTTCTTTCCACCAGTGGTAACAGGTGAACTGGGAAGTTAAAAATTTAGGCTTCAGGTGGAGTCTTAACCCACTCTGGTGCGAGCTGAGGCACGCTGACAGGCCGAAGTTTGTCTGTGTCTGTGCCTGCTCCTGACCTAGTCTAATGATAGGCAGCTTCGTGCTCCCAAGGGACGTGCCGGCCTGCAAATGAGCTTAACGGTGCTGAAAGACTGAGGCGGCACAAGAAGGGAGGTGGTCACAGTGGGAAGAGGCTGCTGACCCTTCATGGCAACCACAATTATTAGCAGAAAGTCCCCCTCTCCCACGCCTGTCTCCGTGCAGTGCCTGGCGTAGCGAGGCCCTGACCATGACTTGGGTTTCTCGGCCCTGCTGTGATCTAATGCTCGAAGAGGATGTGTTGGCTTAAGGCATTTGCTGTAATTTGTTATTTCTGCTGCAATTTTGTCGTGCTGTGGTTTGCTGAATAGCTTTTTGATAACCAGTTAATGTGTGGTTATAGAAAGGAATTAGTAGACTAAATTGCTGTTTCCATTCTCTGATGGCCTCGCCCCCTTAGTCCAGTAATGCACCTTTATGCCTGCGCTGCCTTGCAGATTGTTGGAATAGATATTTTTTACCTCCACTGCAATTTTATGTGCTGCCAGACTATGCCAAAGAGCAGAACAGCTGGTGCAAGCACCGAAACGAAGCCATGCAGAATTGAAACAATGGCCACGCAGCTGAATTTCCTACCTCAAACCCTTGTTGGACACGAGGTGTATCACGTGCTCTGTGGAGGATGTGTGTTGTCTTGCGATTTAGAAGGTACCTTCCCTTTTAAAACTCCTGTTGTCTGTACTTGGGAGATGGCAAATGAAGACTGAAAGATGAGGAAATTGTAAATAACTGTTAATCCAGCTGTAACCCAATT